TATAACTCCCTTGGTTTTCAACCGAACAGGATGGGATTCAGAACATAGATAGACATTATAGACTCCTACAAAAGGGTATGGTCATGATGCACATGCATGCACGTGCGTGCACGTGAAATGAGTAAAATTACAAATACACTAGATTAAACATATTTTTGGATTAAATGCTGTTATATTTAGTATATTAAAATATATGAATAGTGTAGACAAGATGATATGGTCATTACGCACATGCATTCAAATGCGCATGCGTGCAATGCTGAAATTGATTACTTCTGGGAAAACTTTTTTGAAATCTAAAATGTTTCGCGTTTGTCTTATTTAATGAAGCTTACAGGGAAAATGGCACAAAAGGGAGTTGGGGAGCGTTTGGGGAACATCTGTAACGGTCCCCGTTACAATTAGCCCTAGGTTTTGATAACCTTATGTGTAAATCAATAGGAGTGGGCGTGCCTATCAATTTTAATGATATTGTTGGCAAATTAGAAAAAAAACTCTATATCAATAATTACTATAGTATAACAACAGGTCGATGGGCTAAGATCACCTGATTTACAAAAACCCTGCTGTTCTTAGATTCATTTCAGTTTGTTCTAAAGATATCTATACTTCAATGAAAATTGTGTCCCTGTATGGCATTTTGTACTATTCATATCACTTACGAGTCTATGACTCTTAACACCACGGAGATGTTTCAATATCAATGTCTAAATGGCTTTGGAGTTATGGAGCAGAAAATTATTTATTATGCTTAAGTTTGATCCTGATTTTAACCACTTCTAAATCCATGTTCTATAATCTAAAAACTATTAACTCGGGGGTTTTGATTTAAACAGTTAAGAATTTACATTTCTTCAGAAAGTTTGCCACGTGAATTTCAACACTTTGGTCCAGTGATTTCTTAAAGATTTTTTTTTTTAAATATATTTCCATGTCAAATTTTTATCTTAAATAGTGGCCCAACACTACATCCAATATCTGTGATTTGCTCAACAATTTAATATAGGGGGACAAAAGCACTGAGAAAATTTCCAACACAAGAGAGACAATTTGTACAAAAAAAAAAATCTTGACAGTTGATGTAGTATAGTACATGTATTACTTAGGTCTACGATGACATTTCAGTGGATTTTTGAGATATTGATTGGTATTCAAGCTCAAAATTCCATTCAAATACTAGTAATTTTATTCTTGAGCAGAGCAAAACGGACCTCTAAAACAATAGAGGAGAGATCAGGTACCATGGAGGAGAAAACGTCTCCTGTCGTGTTCCGCCGTTTTCTCCTTGTCCTGATTGGGAAAAAACGGAAATGTCTGTAGACAAGGTGGCCTAAGAATAGGTATGACAACGGCAATCAACATTTAAAGATAGATTGTACTTGCATTTGCAAAATGATGACTTTAACTTTTCTTTTTTCAATAACTAATTTCTAAATTTTTCAATAGCTTGCGTCTTTTCAGAATACGTCTGTACATAGAACGTGGTCTAGCTTATCGAATCAACTGAGAGACATAAATCCGAAATGCGAATGCAGATGATGATTGCTACATAAGACAGGAAAGTTGACTATTAAAAAGTTGGTTTTTAGGTTTACCATAAAGATTTGTTATTAGGTTATCATTGGATTTTTTTTCTATTAAAAATCCAACTATGAAACAGGTGTATCAAACTCTATATGGCATCTTTTATTTGAATTTTACGTACTAGTATTCAAAGTAGACACATAAATGGAAGTAACTATGATAATTGTTAATTAATAATACGTCGTCTATATATCTAAATGTCGAGTTGAAGGTCACATCAAGTACTCAGTATTTTCTTCCCATGTATAATATTTTGAATAAAATCTGCTTCGGACAAATACAGAAACACATGTAGGTTCTGTTAATAACAATTGGTATACATGGTAATTCCGACAGGTTGTTGGAAAACATGGTCTCCAAAAACTACATAGATATTGTCAATCAGAGATGCGAGCATCTCTTTAATGCCAGTTTCAGAGTACTATTGATAATTGATAAAACGTCGAGGACATACATATATCTAAAAATCGAGTTGAAGGCCATTGTAAATGTTTTCTTCTTCTTATGTTTATTAAAATTTTGAATAAAATCTGTTTCAGATGGAAAAAAAGAGAGAATGGAATGTCTATGCCAGGCACGTAGCATCGTTTTTGAAAGTGGGGGGGGGGGGGGCCAAACCGAGAAAAAATTTTTTACTTACCTAAAAAAAGTTGACAAGAAAAAAAAAAGAAAAAAAAAGAAAAAAAATTACCCAAACTCGAAAATGCTATTCCGTGTGTGTGTGGGGGGGGGGGACTTTTTCACGACCAACTTCCTTTCACTTCCAATTTTTTCCTATATTTCCTTGCTATAAATATACTGTGGTAAAAAGTGGGGGGCCAACCATCTTTTCAATGGACATTTTCTATAGTAAAGGTAATGTTGGGGAAAATAGGGGGGGGGGGGACAGCCCCCCCCCCCCCTGTTGCTACGTGCCTGTATGCAGACTCAAAATCTTATTGATTTCAAAGACCCCCCCCCCCTTCCCCTCCAACAGAAATTAAATTGCTGTCTCCTTTATATTGTTTAAAATCACTGGATAAAAAAATTGTTTTAAGTAAAGTTCAACTATTACACAAAAATTTATTTTTCTTATGAATCAGTCCATAACCTCTTTCGAACATGGCCAAGATAAATTGAAAATGATTTAGATCTATCAAACTACATGTAGTATCCAAAATAAAATAATATTTCAATCCATTGCATGTTTTTCTGACGTCTGTGTCGAATTTTACCCGCCCATTTCATTTTTAATTCATCAAATCTTATCACTCTCGTGGTAGTTTTTATCAACGAGTTGTGTCGCTTTGAAGTCTCAAAAAGACTAACGAGTGAATATAAAGATCGATAACTCTGTTAAACCACCCTTACTTAATCTTGGGAAGTTCTAAATACTAACAAAAATAGCTTTTTGGATTGGAGAAAAATATAGCATATAAAGGTGTGTTTATTTGGACTATATTTTATTCATCTTCAACATAGGGTACCTACCTTAGTTCTGCAGGAAAAATGTTCAAAAACATTGAATGGACTACATTTTATGTGTGAACAAAAATACTGTTGTATACTTATATTGACTGCCTTAATTCTACAGGAAAAATGTTCAAAGACATTGAATGGACTACGTTTTATGTGTGAACAGAAACACTGTTGTATGCGTACATTGACTGCCTTAATTCTGCAGGAAAAATGTTCAAAGACATTGAGTGGACTACATTTTATGTGTGAACAGAAACACTGTTGTATGCGTACACTGAGAAAATTAATGGAAATAATGAATTACTTATTCTTGATCTTTTATAACCCTAAGTATATTTAGTCCACTGCGAATTGTATAATAAACTGTCAATAACCATTTTTTCTACCTCACTTTTCTTTCTCTATCAGCTAATAAGTATCGAATCGGGTGCAAAAACGAACGTTTTTATCAGAAATCAGCAATATTTCTCATCGATTAGTATTCAAATAGGTGACATGAATGATAATTTTCTGGGTAAAGAGGGAGAATTTTGTAAGAATTTGTCACAATGTCAAAGTATGTGCACAATGCAATTTTTTCAAAACCTGTCTCCCAATATCTGGATTCTCAAAAAGAAATTTTATTTTAGGGATTGTTTATTTAGTTTTTTCTTAGCTTTAAAAAAATGCACTTTGGAAAAGGAAATTAAAAAATATGTACACATGTAAGGGTTAATTTGGATCAATTTTGCTATCTTTTAAAACTGGTTTATATATAACCAACTGTAACCTTTACTAAGCCACCCTACCGTATTTTTTTTTTAAATAAAGTCTTAAAAAAAGTTATTTCTTCTATTAAAAAAGTCTTAACCTTCGATTGTTTCATATTTAGATATGTCTATGAATGTACTACTGAATTTTTTAAAAATTATATTTTATTTCATAATTTTTAGTATTTACTATCATATATATTTTTTTAGATTTTCTTTCAGGGGGCGATTAGAAAGAAGGGGGTTTGTAAGGGCAGTGTCAATTGGGGGGAAAAAGTTGATGGAGGGAGACGGGGGTACCCTTTCCCAAATATAACGAAGTACATGTACATGTATTTTATACTGAATTACAGCTTCAGCGATTAGTTCAAATACTCTTATTTGTATATCTTTGTTGGAGACAATGAGGTTTGTTTTTACCACTTTTTGAACTCCTTTATTAATGATCTGACTTCCAATCGCCAGATAATAATTACAGTGTAGGAGTGATGAGTTACTGAAGTATACAAAACAGATGTTCTGTACTAGCCGTGCATGGTTGCAGTCTGTTATAAGGTAAATCACAGAAGATTAGAAGGGGGTGTGCCAGTGTCTTAATGCATCATCTTTGACAACACAAATTACAAGTTTGTATTCACAATATCTTTATTTTAAAATTTTGCAATCTGTTTTGTTCAGTTTTGGATACAGCTAAGGGTAAAAAAAAAATGGAAATCGATTTTGCTTCATATTATATTAAATTAAAAAAAAAATGCGGTTCTCTTCTTTAGAAAAAATATGGTATTGGAAAAATTCATATTCCCGCAAAGTTTTTAAGTGCTTATTTTCATCATACATAAATTATGAAAGTGTATACAGCTATTTGAGGCTTCATATCATTATTATTAGGTAGAACGAGAAATGCATGTTATGAAAAGACTGACAAGTAACCCTTTGTGTTGTGGGCAGCGGTCATTCAAATGACGCGATTCGCACTTGATTAACGCAAAACAAGTACTTCACTTTCACATTCCACAAAATTTCACATCTTTACCACTTTTTACAGCTATAACTTGAACAACATGAATTCGTGTGCTTACGAAACCTGGTGATAAGAGCCTTGGCAAATGCTGCAGGAAATTCCATCACCTCTCGTCAACTCGAGTCGTCAAGTGCGTTCTATTTCAATTCCTAAATCCAGTTGCACACATACTTATAAAACATAGACATTCTTCGAAGTTAAAAATTTATTGTTCGTAGACAATTGAAAGCGGGTGTTCGCCTCTCGCTGCGTGTTGCCTAATTAATATTCGAACAATATGCGCTAGAGGTAAGAGGATCGACCAAACGATTTAGTCGGTGTGCGCTGTATGTATCTTAGATATTTATGTAGATAACATAATGTTGTTAATTTTTCTTTCAATTATTCCTATGGAAAACATCTTAGATGTTTTCTCTCCTGTATGAAATAGCTTCCAGACGTCTGCTGTTAATTCTCTACGCCGATCTTATTTCATCTATTTGACGCGCCAATCATAAACGTAGATTAACTTAGCTTGGCCTATTCTACGCTCGGCAGCAACAAAACTTAAATTTACCCTCGTAACACATAATTCTGATGAAACTAAATAGTTAACAAAAATAGATCTAAAGGCAAAATATTCAGTTTCCTAAATTCTAGTTCTGAATGTGCTCTAACGTTGGCAAATGAAAGTAAAGGATCGTAAAATGATTTCGACGATCACTTACGATCTAACGTGCGCCCACGTGCGCTTAATTAGCAGGGATTAGTACCGAGTATAGTTGATCTATATTGTACCATTTTTTCTTGTAGCTGGACGTGATATAAAGAATAACCACCCGGCAACTGAAGAATTCCGAACATTTACAGACCATGTAAGTTTTGCTATTTCTAACCCATATTTATAACAGACATTGACAAAATTAAACCTCGTACACAATATCATACTCATTCAAGGTGTTAAGTATTTCAGCTTTACCCCGTGCTATTACACGTAAAGCTATGTTTTAATCTTCATTCACAAATATTTCTACTAACTGTGGATCATTAAGTAATTCATTTTAATTCTGTCGATACCTTCTCGCCTACGTTGAAATCTTACCGACAAAAACATTCATGTAAGGATTTCACATTACGTTGCATTTAATCTCAATTATTGTCTTTACGCGCTAGTTCAAAAATTTGAATAAACAAAAAACATTTCAAGAGATATAACTTAAGAAAATTCACTTTTTCAATATTGGTTTAAAATGATAAAAGCATATTAACCTAGGCGCCCAGCTTTGAGGTTACGGGGAATAATTTTACCTGTGTGTGTATACGTTTATTCAAATTAAACCTTCCTTATTTTGACACAGTTGATCGACACAGGGCTGACGACAAAAGCCGGTCTGGTGTGTAGTGCGAGGAAACCTCAGATTTGGATCAACATTTACCTGTTAGCGCTCAGTGCAGTGTATTAATCGCCCACCAAAATGTGGGGAAAGTGTTGCATATAATGCAGCCGAGTGCATAGACTCAAGGATTATGCTATGAACTGTCAGGTGTAAGGTGGGGATAGGAATCATTCAGAAAGTTACCAGCATGGGAGCCGTGTCGTGGCTCTCTATTGGCATACTTTGTATATGTTTTGTTGTGACTTGTGTGAGGGGAATTTACATCCGTGCCCCTAAGGACAAGGAATCTTTTGCCCAGTACCCAAAGTGGAATGCTTGTATTAACGCTTCTTTGAGTTTTGAGTTCAAAACAACACAGGCGACGGGGCTGTTAATGTACACAGATGATGGGGGTTCGTATGATTTTTTTGAACTTTCCCTTCAGAGGGGTATAGCCCAGCTGAGGATAAATATAGTAGATGGACACGATGGAAGTGTGGAATTTCAGGTCGGCCAAAACCTTAATGATAACAAGTGGCATCGGGTAACAATTCAAAGAAACCGGATGGAAACCACTTTTTCTGTGGACCAGGAATCTTCAAAGAATGTGTCATATGGATCGGATTTTTACTTTGGAAACTTAGCTAACAACAGTGACGTTTATTTTGGGGGAATGCCTGAATCCTACATGAAACATTTGGAAACTTTGGCCTTGCCGTCGGTAATGTTTGATCCCCATTTAGCTGTGGAGATACGAAATGTTATATATGGAAATTGTTCATGTGTGCCCGTCCGTGGAAGCCTAATCAGAGGCGTGTCTTTGGACGGGAGGTTCACTGAGGCGTGTGAGCAGAGAAACCACTGTGGGGACTGCCTGTGTATCAGTGTGGATGCTGGTCCAAAATGTCAGTGCGATGAGACCCAGAAATGTGGCCAAGGTAAGAACACCCATACAGGTAAAAATGAACCAGGTGGGTAACCTTCAACAGGTGCTAGAGTTAATCTGGCAAACAATTAACAGGCAATAGAAAGACCAGTTTGACCAAGCTCAATGCACCACTGGCCATCAGGTCTTTTGTTGTGTTGTTACATCTTTTACGCCAATAGCGCTGGACAGACCATAAAAATGTCGTAAGTCCACTCAAGTATTATTGACATAGGCAATATAATTCTATTATTACATACGCAGGAATGAAATACTTACACATATTTATTCAAAATCAAAGACTAGCCGTCCTTTGGTCACATATACAGGTACCGGTTTACTGACCTCAAATAGGTGTTAATGGAGACGAGTAAGAGTTAATAGAAGCATGTCAAAAATCTTGACAGCATTTATCATAAATGTTTATTTTTATTAAAAACGGTACTTAAGATAGATTTAAGGATGTATCTATGATAAGGGCCCTACCTGTAAATAATTTCTAATCGACAAAGTGTTTTCAAGTGTGTAAAAATGTAAACAACGATTCTGTATTTGGTAAATTGCCCTTTGTGTTCAACATTTACACACACTGTGACACATTCATATAAATACATAGGGATAATCTGGATACTGCTGTGAAGACTTTCTTTAAAATTTTGAAAGTGAACGATCCAAAATATCATTCTTTTTGCAAATTAGGACGTGCCTTCCGTGGTTTTATGCATGAACCATTTGCTAAAAAGGAAAGAAAAAAATAATTCATCGTGAAAAATTGGTCGATCCCATTTAATTGATTGTTAGCTTCTGATGTCTGTTTACAACATTACGTATTCTGTGTGTATCATAAACCTGTTTTAAACTAATTTACATATAGGAAGGGTTTTCTTCATGTTTAATTGCCAGCATATTTCAAATATATTTGGGTTTTTTCCCAAAGTGCACAGAACTCAGCGATGAAAACTTTCATTTCTTATTCATTTCAACATCTAATACAGCAAAATTCTCGCTCTTTTTTTCAAACTTTGCACTTGTTAAATGTTCAAAAACCTCTCCTGAAGCAGCAAGGAAATTGCATAGAGCAATGTTTCTGATGCTAGTTTTTATCAAGTTTTTATCAAGTGGTTACCTCTTTGACTGTGGAATTGTTGTACGTTGTCGGTTTTCATTTTGTTGATAGAGAGGATTTCTTTTCCTATTCTTCTTCACTTAAGCACGGAAAATGTCAAGTTTAGGTTATGTATCTACATTCATACATCTACTTCAGGTGTTGTACATAATTTCAATGACAGAACAATAATATAGATAGTTCTCCAACTGAATCTGAAACACGTCAAGTCTTTTTAAAGGAATTTTGGTTAGAAACTGACTCGGTTTATGAATCGCTTATAAGGAATTTTTGATTTCATTATAATTGGCTTGCGTGATAATTTGCATAAACGCCGAAGGCGTTTATGCATAAAATTATCACGCAAGCCAATATTGATTATCTTCATGAAATTGAAAAATACAGTTATTCCTTATATTTACATGCTTTGATTCCGCCAATCCACGTGCTCCAAGCCCTGCTTCTGTCTAGCTGTTTGTCCCGCCCTGCACGTGGTTTTTTTTGGAACCGCGCCAATACATTGATGGAGAAATAAAGTACATTTACATTTGGTAATTTTATCTCGGACAAAGACATTGGAAATGTAAATATAACTGTATACTGCAAACTATGTTAATTCATAATTTCCAAGTCAATACGAGATAAATTATGTATTGGAAAATTTATGCATTAAAATACAAAGACAAGTAAATCTAAATGTTCTGAGATGTGCTGAAGTAATCCGAAATTTTAATGTGCAGACTTTTTTCTTAATGTCCTTATTTTAAAAAAGATTTCTTTCTTCATCTTTGGATTACCTTACATGCATGGTTGATACTGTCTTTCTTGCAATGTTGCTTCAAAACAAATGAAATATTTTCATTTTAGAGTATACGTTTAAAATTGCTCCAATCACTATAAGATAAAACATCTCTCCACACAATCATAAATTAGCCTACTATTTATATTATCTCCTCATTCTCTCAAGAAATATTTTTTCAAGCTTAATATACAACATAATTTATCAGTTTTTCATGTTTTAAGTTTTGCTCCGGGAAGTGTCTTAGGCTGATCTGGTTTATTTATCAGGTGCTTGGGATACTAACTGAAGGGTTTAATTGTATCTGTCTAGTGTTATAAACTAAAGGAAAATTCCAACAGAAGCCGTATATATAGATCATATGGAAAAGTCATAAAAATCGTCAGGCTCTAATTGGAGTGAATGTGTTACATGGCCCCGTAAAACTATACTACAAAAAATATTTTCGGGAAATTTGTACGTATGGTTTTGCAATTTAGTGAAATGTTTGCAAGAAACACCAAACACTCTCTTTTCACAGTTTCCTTTTTAAAAATGTCAATGACATCACTACCATGAAATTTTTTTATTCTAAAATATTTTCGTGCAAAATTTTATACATCAATTTGTCGGGAAAAATAGAGAATGAATGCAGCGTATTAATACATCTCTCTAACACGCACATGAACAGTGTAAATACATAAGAAAAAAATTATTAAAATTTTATTCAGTGATGTGGGAAAGAAGTCAGACCTTGGGTCCAAGGCCGTATAGAATAAGTAGCTCAGTCACACAAGATGTTGCCCAAGTGCATGCAGCTGCAAGGCGTGGCCTGAAAGCTGCTCACTACGAATGCTACAAACTTCAGTGTCAAGAATAATTGCCTCTCGAAACAACGATTACATAACTTTTAAGTTGGTTTATTTGTAATTTACCTTAATTAGTTTCTCTTCTGTACTTTATCCGTGTATGCTTTCATGTGTAATCAAGACTTTTCCCCTGAAATATTTCATTAGTGTAAATTATTTCAATGACACATCCACCATTTTTAAATCTCAGTGGTATCTAGGCTTTTGATTAAGTTGTTGGCTCTGTGATGTAGGTAAAATGCAGATGCACCTGGTGATAAAATACATGTATCTGGCTTAAGAAACATTTTATCGTTCCTGTCAAATTGTTTCAGAGTAATTTCAAGGTTGAATGTCTAAAATTCCATTTTCTGTCAATTTTTGGCATCAAATTACTTCAAAAAGTAATGATGTTCGTGTTAATTTTTACCCTTCATATTTTTCTAAGAAAGGTTTGCCTAATGAAATTGCCTTTGCAAACATATGTCGGCACAATTTTGCCGTGAAAATATATACACGGATTAGTAATTGAATATTTTTTTTCCTGCGAGAAATCAGTTAAACAAAATAAGACTTTTCATGCAGTTGATAAAACTTGCAACAACAACAAAACTCTGAGAAATTACATGGTAGATACATGTAGCGTACCGACTATATTTTATAGTTTTATCACTGACTGTAGGTCATTTGTTAATGTCACCCATAATTCGTGTCCGGTCCATATCTTTCTTATGGATAAAAGTTCTCATTTTTTCCCAAGGGTGTGTCAGTAAATGTAAATATACATGTTTGACACCTTTTATGGATAAACTTGGTAGGTTCTCATTTCACACCCCAACCAAGGCATGACCACAAGGTCCAAGGTTGGAAGAAAAATTTCATAATTTGTTGATGGATAAACTTGGTAGGTTTTCATTTCACATAAAGATTGCCCATGATAAGGGTGTGTCATGACCTTGACCCAAGGTCATTTGGAGAAGTTCAAGGTCACTGGTATTCGTGTCCGGTCCATATCTTTCTTAAGGATAAACTTGGTAGGTTTTCATTTCACCCATGACAAGGGTGTGTCATGACCTTGACCCAAGGTCATGTGGGGAAGTTCAAGGTCACTGGAAGAAAAATTCGTGTCCGGTCCATATCTTTCTTATTGATAAACTTGGTAGGTTCTTATTTTGGTATGACCCAAGGGTGTGTATGACAACAAACAGTAGGTTACTGGAAGAAAAATTTTATAATTCGAGTTTGATACATATCTTTATTATGCAAAAACTTACTTCTGAAAAACCCAGCGGGGGGTATTTTGTCCTGATTGGACATTCTAGTCATTGTATTGTGAATGCCATAAGTTTTTTTCCTCGGTAAATCTAGAATATCATACATTTCCTTTATACACTCTGCCGCCCCCTCCCGCCCTTTGTTGGATTCAATATGGCAGACAACAGGTCCGGTTGCTCTCTGGCTTGGTTCCCACTCCGGCTTCTACAAGGGACATTTCTGTAACTAACATTACTGGTTTAACAACAATGCAATTTAGTAAGCCCAATTACTCAAACTGTAAAAGTGATTTTTTTTTTTTTGCCATTGAGGTATAAACAGAAGAAAACCCAATTCATTCAAGTATGGTTCCTTGCAAGGGACATTTTTACAACTTACTTTTATTGCAATTTACTTTTGTGAAGTATAAGACTTTATTCTAACGAAGATTTTTTTTTTTTACATGTTTCTGCTTTTCAACATTATCGAAAGATGATTTTAAAAATGATAAATCCTGTTTCGACACATATTTCCACTTATTGAAATGAAACATGATTTGTTCTATATAATGTAATAAAAAGGCTGGTTTCTTATGTATATACACCTGATATGAAATCCCGCTTTATGTCTAGATTGCTCATGTTTGCGATCACTCATACATGAGTTAGCTTTGTTACTGTTGTCTTTGGATGAGGGATATGTCAGAATCAAAATAATGCTTTAGATCTTAGCCTTGTAATGACTGGTACTTGTAGCAAAGTTGGCAAAGGGAACAGACTGATGATTCAACAGTTCTGGGAGTGCTGCTCCCGGGTATCTCTAGAATCTGTGTCATCGCAAAACGGTTTTATAATTCAATCATCATATGCTCTGTTCATGACGTTCCAATTCCACAATTACGTATACTGTATGATTTAAATGATAAATGTTTATATAACTTTGGAAATGCCTTTTTAAAATTTATTTTCGGTTTCATTTTTCTTTCTATTTTTATTAATTGTGTTTAAACTGTTCTGATAAATAATGTT